CTTGAAGCTCGGACTTGGGCAGGGAGGGGGGACAAGGGCAACGTATGTAATCTAAACATCTGTACCCCCATAATATGCTGAAATGAAAAAAAAAGCTGTAAAGATTTCTGAACATAGAACAATCAATATTGATACAATTATCTCTTCATTGATTTCTATGGATGTTTCTCTTTTTTTCTTTTACAATGTCATAAGTAATACATATCTGTTGTAAAGATTTTGAAAAAATTAATTTCTTTTCAATGACAAGAGGAACACGGGCAGCGGTGTGCTGTCGTTTAATGTTCTCTGCTGGGGATGGGGATAGTAGTGTCTGATTTGCCAATTTCCATGGTGTAAATATTCCCAGCATAACTGTTTTCAAGTTATCAGGGGTTTAACAAGTGGCTTACAAAATTCCTAAAAATATAAACCATCTTATAGTACTTTAATAATTTAATTTATCTTTCACATTTAGAACATTAATCAATTTGGAATTTCTTGTGCATATGGTGTGCGTCAGGTATCTCTCTTTTTGTGTCTAAACAGATTGAACATTGATCAATCACATTTCTGTGATTTAAATGTTTGCCCCCCCAAAATTCACGTTGAAACTTAATTGCCATTGTCACAGTGCTGGGAGGTGGGACCTTTAAGAGGTATTTAGGTCATGAGGGTTCCACACTCATAAATGGGCTAATGCCATAATTACAGGGGTGGGTTCATTATTGCAGGAGTGGGTTTGCTGTCTTTTGCCCTCACTCTTGCCCTCTCTTTGCCCTTCTACCATGTGATACTTTCTGCCATACTATCATGCAGCAGGAAGGTCCTCATCACTTTGATACTGGACTTCCCAGTTTCCAGAACTATGAGCTGATAAATTTTTGTTCATTATAAATTACCCAGTCTCAGGTATTCTATTATAGTTGCACAAAATGAACTAAGATGCCCATTTACTGAATAAACTATCCCAGATGGACAGTGTCTTTACTGGGCATCCCCTTGAAGTCTGCAGCACTGGCAATTGTGGCATTACTGCTTCAAACTTGTCTACTGTTATACCTTGATAACAGTTAGAGCCTATGATCTTGGCTGGTATCCTAACAGGACTTCCTTTCTAGCTAGTGTCCTCTCCTGTCCACTTCATTATTACTGACCCTTCAGAACAACACTGTGCAATATAAATATATCATGAAACACAGAGAAATTTAAATTTTCTAATGGCCACATTCTGAAAAGATAAAAAGAAATGAGTGAATTAATTTTATACCATATTTTATTTAACTTACTTAATTTAATGTCTCTAAAATATTATCATTTAATATATAATCAATATTTTGAAACTATTTGATACAGTTTTCATTCTTTTTTATTATTTCAATAGATTTAAAGGGGTACAATTGGAGTCTTTTTATATGTATGTATTGTATAGTAGTGTAATCTGGCCTTTTATTGTACCTGTCACCTCATAGTGTATGATATGTAGTAGTATAAATTACTCAATAGGTATTTTTTCATCCCTTACCCCTCTCAGCCTTCCCCTGTTGAGTCTCCAATGTTCATTATATCACTCTTTATGACCATGCATAGCCATAGCTTAGCTCCCACTTAAAAGTGAAAACATACAATATTTGGTATTTTGCTCCTGAGTTACTTCACTTAGAATAAAAGTCTCCGCTTCCATCTAAGTTGCCGCAAAGGACATTATTTCATTCTTTTTCATGGCTGAGTAGTATTCCATGCTGTATGTGTGTGTGTGTGTGTGTGTGTGTGTGTATCTACACACCA